AAAAAAAAAAAAAAAAAAAAGGCAGAGGCATCTAAAAAGACAGAAGGGCATAAAAATCTGAAGCACAGATAAGATGGCTAAAGAAATTTGATGTCCTCTACATTATTTTTTGGTTATACTCTCACATCATTAATTACATTATCTACAACCTCTCATGTAAGTTTAACCCTTTTGATCTCCACAAACTTATCCACCAAAATACTCTCACTGTACACCACAGAAGATCTCTCAGTATTATATGGGTTGTTGGGATGCGAGTTCAATATCTGTTCACTAAAATGACTCAAAAGTCATCTCAGTTATTCAGCCAGTTCCTTATAACTATTACTCTATGAATTTGCTTACTGATCATGAATATGAGGTAATATAAACTAATTTTAAAAAGAAGAAATCTTTAGAAACTGTTTTAAATACCTGGCAGAAAAAATGTATGTTAGTTTCCATCTTTCTGTTTAGAGGTAAATTCTGTCCTTAAAGAATCCAGGCTTTGATGAACAAGTATGAATGAGCAATAGTACAAAAGGATTTCCTGCCAAAAAAAAAGAGAAAGAAAAAATCATATGCTTGTTTAGGACACTTAAGCAATTATATTTACCTACCTGAAGTTATCTCTTCAATGTAACACTGACTTGGGGTATGATACACAGTATTTCACCAACACAGATATGTGGGCAAACACTAGAAAAAGCAGTTAGTAGACTATAAATCACAGATCATCCAGTTCCTTAACTTTATCTTTTGTGGTATGAGGAGAAATCCAGTTTCAAATGGCATACAAAGCAAAGAAATCCAAGTACATCTGTTTATTTAAATAAACCCTGAGAAGCAGAACTGCTAAGACAGTAGTAATCACTCATGTTACTGCATGCTCACTGTGTGCTAAATATGATAAAGACTTAAGAGATCAAGTTTCCCAAGATCACACAGCCAGCAAATAGTGGAGACAGAATTTGAATTCAGACAATTTAACTCCAAGCCTGTGGTCTTCAGTCCCATAGAACATTGCCTCTCAAAACAATGCTACTGCAAACAAAAGATGTTGTAGGCCAGGTGCGGTGGCTCACATCTGTAATCCCAGCACTTTGGGAGGCTGAGGCGGGCGGATCACGAGGTCAAGAAATTGAGACCATCCTGGCCAACATGGTGAAACTCTGTCACTAATAAAAATACAAATCAATTAGTCGGGGGTGGTGACATGCGCCTGTAATCCCAGCTACTCAGGAGGCTGAGGCAGGAGAATCGCTTGTATCCGGGAGCTGGAGATTGCAGTGAGCCAAGGTCGCACCCCTGCACTCCAGCCTGGGATATACAGCGAGACTATCTCAAAAAAAAAAAAACAGCCAGGCATGGTGACTCACACCTGTAACCCCAGCACTTTGGGAGGCCAAGGGAGATGGATCACGAGGTCAGGAGTTCAAGACCAGCCTGGCCAAGATGATGAAACCCCATCTCCACTAAAAATACAAAAATTAGCCGAGTGTGGTGGCACGCGCCTATAATCCCAGCTACTCAGGAGGCTGAGGCACAGAACTGCTTGAAGCCGGGAGGTAGAGATTGCAGTGGGCCAAGATCACATCACTGCACTCCAACCTGGGTGCAAGACTGAATCAAAAACAAAAAGAAAGAAAAGATGGTGTAGCCTCACTTCAAACCAAAGACTATCACATTATGCAAAAGTGATAACCAACACTTAGAAATTCCTCAAATTTTCACATTTTCAACTCACATCTGAGTTACCTTGGATGAGCTAATTTATCACAGTGCCAGCCATATTACATTATATTACACTGCTAGTTATAATCATGTCTTTTTCTTGTAAAGTTTAGCTGCAAGTATTAATATTCTAACGAAGACAGAGTACTTAAAATCATTTTTCTTTATTTCTGACGTATGTTAATAGTCATTATTTTTCAATGTGATATGTCCAACATTCCTGGAATTCAAAATATGTTAAAATAAAATAGAAGCACATTGAAACTACCCATCTCAGAAAATATCTGAAAAACATGCAGGTCTCCCCAGTAACCCATCCTATGTAATCTCTTCTAGATCTTCTCCAACCAGTTGAATCTTTACCCCTAAACTACTGTGCACAGCACTTAATGTCTTCACTATTCTTGTCTTCACTATTTAACTGACATTAATCATTTGCCTTGTATTTGTATTTAATTTTCATATGTATAGCTCCTATACCAACTATAGCCAAATTTATAAAGAACTGGGACTGGTAACTTATCATTCTTAAAATTATTTCTCATAGTATCAAATACAATGGTATATATACAATGAAGGAAAGAGTAAAGGAAAGGAGGGAAGGGATGGAGGGAGGGGAAAAGAGAGGGAGAGAGGGATGAATGAACAAATTCCCTTCCTACTAAGCTACTCATCAAAAGTTCTTGTTTTTTGTTTTTTGTTTTTTGGTTTTTTTTTTGAGACGGAGTCTCGCTCTGTCGCCCAGGCTGGAGTGCAGTGGCTTGACCTCGGCTCACTGCAACCTCCGCCTCCCAGGTTCAAGCCATCCTCCTGCCTCAGCCTCCCGAGTAGCTGGGACTACAGGCACCCGCCACCACACCCGGCTAATTTTTTTTATATTTTTAGTAGAGATGGGGTTTCACTGTGTTAGCCGGGATGGTCTCGATCTCTTGATCTCGTGATCCGCCCGTCTTGGCCTTCCAAAGTGCTGGGATTACAGGCGTGAGCCACTGCGCCCGGCCACTCACCAAGAGTTCTTAAATCATCAGAGTGCTTAATTAAGCAGAGTTGATACGTTTTGAATAAATCTTGAAAGGAACAATTGTTCTGTAATTTATTGACCAGATTACCAAAAAGTTGGCAGGTCTTAATTTGCTGGATGAATCAGGTACCGCATAAGCCTCTCCAAACTTAAAAGAAAAAATTAACCTAGAAAGTCTATTCCCTGTAACTCTGACAATATAATTGTTTCTCAGCTGTTTCAAACTTATCTTCTATCTGTGAATTTGCAGGAACAAATCAAGAGAAATGGAGGAAGTCGTATCCCTCTTCTCCAGTCATCTATCCATTCACCTTTCTATCCATGAATTCAATGTATATGTCTGCATGCTTAGTATGAACTAGGTTCTCTCCCAGGCTCTAGGAATACAGCAATGAACAACAACAACAACAAATATATAGAGAGAGAGAGTTATGCTATTAAGAGAAATAAGGTAGTAACTGAGGGGAAAATGGAGCTGTGACGGTTTAAGATGAGAAAAACAAAGACGGCTTCACTGAAGTGTGACTCTGTATGACATCCCTTCACAAAATACTGTCCTCTTTCATGCCACATTTCCCTCACAAGCCGCCCCACTCGCTCGCTTTTCCCTCGCTAGAGGGACTGAAAACGTCATTAACACCAACTGCATACACAACTCCATTGCAGCCACTGCCATTCACGAACGTTCAAACACTCATCACCCTGTTTTCGTATTTGTGTAACAAACGTTGAATGAACTTCCACCTCTTCCAAGAACCCACGCTGAGGTGGCTTCCCATAGACCCTGGCCTTATGAAGCCAACGACTTCTACGGGAAGAAAGAGGACCTGTAAGCTAGTGCGCGAACGACCCGCAAGCTGGAAATGGGTGCCCTAATAGAGGTCTCTGCCTCACGCTGAAGGAGCAGGGAAGTGAACCAACACCCGGGACCGCCAGCCTTCTACAACGACCACCATTTCTGAGGAACCACCTGATCAGTCCCAGTCACCCTTCACTCTGCCCCTTTGTCCCACTCGGTCCCCTCACGGTTCCTTTCTGGAACCTTCCTTCACCCAGCCCCACCACTGTTCTCCTTCCTCCCTCGCACCCTACTGCATTCTCCACTCTCCACCTCGAAGGCTCCCCTCCCAACTCCTCAGCGGGTCTCGCCTCCCCTCCCCACCTCTGTCCCCCGAGGGTCCCACTACCGGCCCAAGCTGCCCTCCCCTCCCTCTTGTCTCCAGGACCCCGCGCTCTCTGCGGTCAGCCCCTGGGTCCCCTCCGCAGGCGCGGCTCTCGCTCCGCAGCCTTCT